CTCCACCCTACTAGCGATGGCCTCCACCCTACTAGCGATGGCCTCCAAACTACTAGCGATGGCCTCCACCCTACTAGCGATGGCCTCCAAACTACTAGCGATGGCCTCCACCCTAATACTGATGGCCTCCAACCAAATAGCAATGGCCTGCACCCACTGGTGACTGACAACTTCAATCTCTTGCTCAACCACTGGGACAAGACTCTCATTGAGATATAGTAGAAACATCTTTGTCCGTATGTTCAGTCCTTAAAGATTTGCAAAAATGCCTTGACAAAATGGACACGCCCAAGCATTGCATCAAGAACTCTCCCATGGCATTACTTGACAAACATGTCAGGGCAGCTGTCCGCCGCAGCTGGTTGTTTGTCCATCACGACCTCTGACCTCAATCGCTGCCTGCAGTGCGGATCCAGGCAAGCAATCTGAAAGAAAGGATCAGGATGGGTTAGGCCCGTTGGGTTTCATTGCATCTGGAAGGTGAAAAGTCCATAACTGCGCGGGCCCAAATCCCGCCTCCACTTGCTCTGGCAAGTCAGTTTCTTCAATCAGTCTGAGCGACAGCAAAGAACTTGTGTACCTGGCTTATTCGTCGAACCGCCTTTAGGAACAAGGACGCTACGAGCAAGAAACTACTAGGAACAAAGGGCATCGCTACTAGGAGCAAGGATGCTACTAGGGGTTCCTGGCTACTAGTGAGGCCAGGAGCTACTAGTAGTTTCTTGTTCCTAATAAAAATGCCCTTTGTTACTACTCGTTTCTTGCTCCTAGTAGTAAAGCCAAGAGCCACAGTAGTTTCTTGTTACTAGTTCTATGATTTTACCAAGCCGGGCACCTTAGTTTGCCGCTCTTCTCTCGACCATGCCACATGATCACATAGTGTGGCGGCGACACTACCTTAGCCGCTTGGCCAGCCAACAAAAATTTTGTGTTGGAACAGGAATGACATTGGATATCAAAACATACTTTGCAAGGGATATTCCCACGAATATCAAAGTTCCCGCCAACGAACTACTCAAATTCTGAGTTGTTTGCTCATAAAGTCGAGCTAAGAACCCAGAACTCAGACCCTCACGAGCTAGGCACTTGATGTACATTATCGTTGTTTTTTCTTCTCAAAAACAAGAAGCAAAAGAAACAACATAAAAAGGGTTTTGTCCTGATTTCCATCACCAGGCTCTCCTAAGGGCATGGATTTGACTGACATCCAGGACAAGCGCTTAAAGGTACCTTTCTTCAATCACTACTGTGTTGTTTCACCTGCTCTTCCAAAAACCATTTTTGAACAGAAACTGAGGAGGTTAAAAAATTGTCTAAAGAAGCAAAAATATATATTAAAAGTAGGGTGGGGGCCATCGCTAGTAGGTTGAGGCCATCGCTAAAGGGTTGGAGGTCATCGCTATTGGAAACTGCGAACTTTTCTCTTGAGTGCAAGAGGGGTGCCGTCAGGTGAAAACTAAAATGAAATGCTGTATATATATTTTCCGGTATATACTACCTCTACCTCTGATCTACATTGAAAAGTCTTTGCACTCCTTCTCGGTAGTGTGAGCGCGCAAATGCTACTTTTAAGCTCACTCTGCCAACATAGTCCACGCTGCTTCCATCATACTTCTGTTGAGTTTCTCCTCCTCTGAGGAACGGGGTCCGTTCAAGTCTCTGCTGCTACGCTTTCTGGGTTGCTCTTTTGGTTTCCATGATTTCTCCTTTCAAATCGATCTCTCTCGTGGCTAACTGTGTCTGCTAGATCTTCTTCTGTTCTTTCTAGAAGTGCCAAGCGTCTTTGTCTCAGTTGCTGAATATTCCTCTGAAGTCGACCGTGGCTTGATTGGTCATGATAATGGTCCCTCTGTGGGAATTGCTCCTTGGGTAGCTTCTTGCATCATCACCCAAGCTCCCTGGCTAAGTAGTTTCCTGCGTTTGTCTCTCCAACCATGTCATAGCTGATTATTGTGAGAGTATCTGGCTCCTCTTGTTCTAGAAAGCCTCCATTGAGAATCAATCCACAATGAATCCTCCTGGCATAACCTACCAAATTTCTCTCCTGTGTTCATCTTCGCCGTTTTGGTCCATCATTGTCAACCTCCACCATCCTGAGTTCTGCTTCATTCACCTGTTGAGACATAACTCTCTCAACATTTCATATTTGTGCGCAAAGTGTCTCTATAGCGTCCACATTGCAAATCTCATCGCTGCAAAGCCAATGATAATGACCATGGTGATTGTGACTTTTCCAATTTCCATAGGAATCTTCCATTTCCAATCTGCACCGGCTGATTTCATTCTCTCAGGAATGCTTCTGTAAACATTGGCTGCAAGCCCGCAAAAGTCACAATTCTGACAATCATCTTGGCAATCTTGGTGACCTTTCCTGAATTTTTTCTCATCATACACCTTTCTCTCAAGCTCACCAAATCTTGTTTGCTCGTCACAGTGCCAAAAACCAATGAGGTTCATCAAGAATCAGCTTCTTTGGCCTCCAAGTGGTTTGGTATTGGTATCTGCCATGTTGCTGTCTGTAGGCACTTGCCCCATATTCAAACCTTTCTGTTTTGAATCCACGGCAACTTTATCACAGGTTGGCGCGCGCTTGATGAACCTGTGAAGATGTAATGGTCCACCTTTGTCCCAAGCGCAAATGCAAGAACTGAGCGAATGTATGTTCCATCTGACGCTGGGGAAACTATTGCGCGCAACTCTGCTTCACATGAAGATAAGCTAATGATCTTCCGTGTCCTGCTGCTGTTGGACACAACTGTCCAACGCATGGAAGTCTCCTGATGTTGACTTTCTATGGCTTTTGTTCCCGCTCCAGTCTGAATCTAAGAATGTTTCCACGCGCCAATTGCTTTCCCCTTTCTTCACATGGCCCTCTCCTCCTTGCGGGCATTCAACTACTAGACAATAGCCCATAGTCTTGTTCAAGTCTCCTAACAACTTCTTCAAGTGGTGAGATGACAAAGTTGTTGGGTTTGATTGACATTCTTGAAGCCAAATCTTTTCACAGTAAGCGCCACATCATACCTCTTGACATAGGTAGATATCTAACCAACAATGCTTCTGAAAAGGCTCTCCTCCTTCTTCATCATGTTTTCACAGTATTCAGGCGCTAGCCATCCACTTCCTCTTTTCACCAAAGTAGTTCTCATCAGCTCTGGTGAGTCTTCCACTTCCGGAATGCCTGTGGGATCAACAAACCTGTCCATAAGCTTCCAACTAGCAGCTAGCCGCCCACGCTCATTGAATTTCCAACCTACTGCCTTTTCTAAAGCTTCAGGTACTTGCACCTCCAAGCAGCTTTCATCTTCATTTCGAATGGTTTTCTCTCTGCCATTGATTCCCCAACCATGCTCCATCAGTCTTCCATAGCAAAGTAGGTGTTTTGAGAAGTACTTCGCGTCCATCAATGTCACGCAACAAGACTTCAACACTTTGCGCACCTCGGTGGGAATACGATTCCCCTGCGCATCTTGTAGCTTGGTCTTTGCGTTGTACTCCAATTCTCCTTCCCACTGGTCTGCCATACTCAAAGGGAGTAATGCTACATCAGCTCCACGGTCACAAATGATGGCCACATCCTCTCTATCTTCCCCAAGTCTCCTCACCCTGGGTTCATCATCTGGGATCTTCACACTCTTCTTTCGCTGGCTCATTATCATCATCATCATCGTCATCATCTCCAATGTAGAAGTGACTCACTCGAATTCCACGATCTTCTACTTCATCATCCCTTTCTCGCAAGTCAAAAATGATTGGCTCACTGTTCTCAATCCCAAACGCATGAATAGTCACTGATTCTCCTCCTGAAGATGAATGGGCTGGATCACTGGCAACCTGTCAAATATTCTTCCTCCAACAGTCTCTAGATCACCTTCTTTTCCTTTCTGGTCTCCTTTTCCTTTCTTTCCTTTGCCCTTGGCATCTTTACCTTTGCCCTTCTGATGGTCATTCTTTTCCTTGGAATCTTGGACTCGATCAATGTCCATGGGCATGGGTCCTTGATAGTCTGCACTGCGACTTGCAACCATTGAAGTAGCCCGCTTCTGCTGAGCACGATCCCGTTCCAACACTTGCTCCCTCAAAGTTGGGTATTGAACATTGTCGCCACTTGTCAAATTCAAGTGTGATTCGAGTTGTCCACCTACACATCTCAAAAGAATAGCAGATTTCAACTCCTCTTGAATTGTCGTCCCTGCCTTGACCGTCTCATCAAATACCTCTTCAAGCTTCAGAAGTTGGGGGTGTAGTGCACTGTCCATTGAAAACGCTGGCCATGTAGTGGCTGCTCCCAAAAGTGCTAATATTCTAGGCATGGGAGCAACTTTCAAAGCTATGTTCAAACTCCTCCAGGCGTCAATCCCATTTGAGCCCTCCACAGCTTTAACCAATTGCAGCGCCGTTCCCTCATCAATGAAGCTAACAATCCGAAGAGCTTGATGCACCGGGCTTTCTCTTCTCCAGTTGCCAAATCCACGTCAAAGTTTTCCTTTGGTTTGTCATGAATTTCCTTCAAGTCCTTCATGTAGGCCTCATCTACTGACCTCTTACACCTCTCAAATACCCATGACGATTCTCTGAACGCCTTGATCTCTTCTTGTGCTTTGTGCTCAAAATATGTTTGTCTTTGCGATCAGCTTTGACCAATCAGTTGTTGTTGGCTTCTTGCCTTCAACTGCTTTCTTCACTGCCTCACTCAGCTGCTGATGTTGTTGCTTGCGTACTCTGCGCTATAGTTTGAAGGATTTCTCTGACCTCATCCATCGTTGCCGCGCAAAAATGTCATTCTGGCACAATGTACGGGGTACAAAGCGCCGCTCCCAACAGTTTATCACCAGTTCAGCTAATTGGGTTCCAAAGGCCCCAGGTTGCCCTTATCCTTGCTCCGCTACCATGCGAACTTTTCTCTGAATGCAAAAGGGCTGCGGTCAGGTGAAAACCATAACGAAAGCCAGCAGTGGCCAGACGAGTGTCTCTTTTTCTGGCGGGCGTCCCGGCACAAGACACATGGTCGGCAGCTTGCGAGTCAGCGGCACCGCGGATGCGGGGGGGCGTATGTAATGGTGATGGAGGGAGCAGAGAAGCAAGCCGGGCGGCTTTGGGATAAGTTTGGTATGAAAGAAGTAGTGACAGAGAAATGCGATGCGTTGTATGTTGGTGTAGGTCATCATCACAAGGCAACGGCATGTGTTTGTCACACGCAGGAAGGAATGCACCTTATGGAAGTTGGAAGGCGACATCAGCGTTAGCGAAGGGGAAATACCGTCTCAGTTCGAGTGGTGGGATACCACGTGCGCGCACGCGTGAAAAGAAGCAGTTATGTGTTTGTTACAATTGGAGTTTTTGAAGTTTGTTTGCACTGCATACTTCGGCACGTCGAAAAGCGGCATTCGTTGATTTGGAAGGGTGAACGGGCACGTCTTAGCCGTGACCGGACACGGACGTTTGATCCCGCGGTGCAGAAGGGGGAGTCCAGCGGGAGTAGCTTGGGCTAGCAAAGGAGTGAGGATTTGTGTGCCTATCGATGCACATGCCTAAACTTGAGTGAGTCATGTTCTGGCTCGATCCAAACCACAGTCTTTTTCCTTTAAATGGGCCTTTATTAAAAGATCCAAACACCTTCTTTGTTCTTCTCTTTCTTATCAACTCTGCGCCTTTCTCACTCAGAGGCCTTGACTTTGGCATCCGCGCGTGTAGATCTTTGGGCCGTGGACCCAGGCTGACTGGATTCAGCCAGGGCTGCCAGCAAAAAGGCGACATCATGAGTCAGTAGTATATAGAATTTATCTATCTACCTATCTATCTGCACCGGCAAGCCGGAAAAACGTTCGGTGCGTGTGGACGCCACGAGAAGCGTCCACTCGACCGACGACCGAGGACATGGTGCAAGTATAGCTTTGCTAGGGGGCAGGAGCCCTATGCGGATATGTCGTCAACCTCGCAGGCATCCCCACCGAAACTCAATCCAAATTCATGGACCTGAACTCGTGTCACTTTCGGTTCTCTATGGATTCTGCGAGTTACGGGTTGTCCTGGGAACTCGTACCCTACATGCGGCTGCGGTCTGCTCTGTACGTGGGTCCCTGTCTCCACTCGATTGCTCAATGCCCATTGCCCAAATAGCCTCCAAAGCCCTTGATGATGCTAATGATGCACTACTCGGCATCCATTACATCACTCGCATCACCAAACCCCATTTTCACTGCTTTTCTGACCCTCGCTTTCGAGCGCTCTCCCCCACCAAGCTCTGGGTTCACCCGACCAAAAGGTCCTCCCAGCAACCACCCCCCCCCTAACTCACTTCGTTCGCCCTAAAAGCTCAAGCCTAGCCTATCGGCTGGCTTTCGTAATATACTACCTCTGATCTACATTGAAACCTCTTCACAGAAACAAAGAAAGAAGAACAAGAAGTTTGCTATGCGACTCTTTGCATGCGACGTAGTCTCTCAGTGTGCGACTCTCTTGTTCTCAGCTTTGTCCCAGGAGAGCCGCAAGTTAATGAAGTCATTGGCCTGTGCGGCACACCGGTATGACCACGGCAATGCGTCGTTAATTCCAGCACAGCACGCCTTTCTCAAGCCTGAAAGCACTTCAAAATATTACTATTCCAAGAGCGTTATAAAAATACATTACATAGTACATTGTGTACCTAATAGCGATGGCCTGCAACCTAATAGCGATGGCATTGTGTACCTTTTTCGACTATCTCACAACTGTTGTTCATGTCAATTGGGTTTAATCCGTCGAGCAGGAGGTTTCGGACAAGATCCACGCCTCAACATGCATTGCACCCTCGGCCTCCATGTACTGCGACCACCTGGCGACAAGCCAAGCTTTTAGGTGCACTCAACCGTTTTTTAGATGAAGTAATTTAGCCTGCTCCCGCCCTCCCTACTTAATCAAGTAGGCGAAGGGAGGAGTTCACTACTAGCTACTTAAGCTACTACATACTGGACACAGGAAAGCCCTCGTTTCTTCAAGGAAGCTCCCCCTACTGCCCTAAAGGCGGTGGGGGGAGCTTCCTTGAGGAAGCGCTCGCACTAGTGATTTGGTTACTAGATGTTTAGGGAAACTGAACGATACTGCAACAAATGAGAAGCGAAGTTTCAAGTAGTAGGTAGTGACGCCCCTTCCCTAAAGCATGCCTAGCGGATAGTGCAAGAAAAAAGAATGTTCTCGATTCTAGCACTGTTTTCCTAATTTCCCGGCAAAATGTGAGCAGAAAGCTTTCGACCCGAAATGCACTTCGAAACAATTTTCCCACAAACCCGGGTCTTTACCCAAAAACGACTTTTTAGCTACTTGTTTGAGTAGAGCTCAACAAACTAGGTAACCTGCTACTAGCGAACGGATGCAGGACAGTTCACCCGTCTATTCATTTGGTTCCTAGATTCACTTTTGACTACGCTTTCCTGCCTACCACTAGACTCCTTCACAGCCTTGCCTTCCAAATGAAAAGAGTCAATTATTAAATTGATCAAACAAAAGTAAAGTATACTCTATATATACATAGTGTATTATAGTATTATATTTACTAACCTTACTCCAATTACAGTCTTTACGACCAGACTTTACGACCAGACTTTCGTTTGACGTCGCAACAGAAAGAGAAAAACGGGTCACGGGTATCACGACCCGGAAACAAGACTTCCCGTTCACCAACACTGGCAGAGGCGGGCAAAGAGGCACCCTAGTTCGGTCTGGAATGTCGAAATTTTTGACACATTCCAACATGGCTGCTTTGCAACCTACTTGACAAAAGAAAAAGAGATAGATCGCTAGTAGGTCGGAGGCCATCGCTATTAGGAGCAAGGACGGTACTAGGGGCTCCTGGCCTTGCTACTAGGAGCAAGAAGCTGCTCCTGGCCATACTACTACTATTAGCATTCTTGCTAGGAACAAAGGGCATCCCTACTAGGAGCAAGAACGCTACTACGTTGGAGGCCGCAGTGATCCACCCGACCTCCCCCCAAGTCTCCCGCCTTTCATACCCAGGCGCTGTAACTCGCCGTGTCATGGGCACAAAGTTGTGGTGCAGACTCTCTGCGAAAGCTCTCGTTTTGCACAAAGTCTTGTTTCTAATAGCTTCTTGTTACTACTAGCGATGCACCTGTTACTAGTAGCGATGCACTTGTTCCTAGTAGCTTATTGTTTC